TCTTGTAATATCTTATTTCTTATTTTTTCTTTCAGTGTATAGCTTTTATGTTTTAAGCCTACCAAAACTAATCATAATCATTATAATATTTTCCCTTATAAAATATTTCAATAAAATGATTGGTTCACTGAAAGAAAAGATAAGAAATAAGATATTACATTCGTAATAGCTTTTATTCTTACATTCGTTGACACCTTTCTAGTCAGTGAATATGCTTTCAGTATTCAGTTATCAATATTGCGTAAATTTATTATTTCCTTGTAACTCTTTACAATTAAAGTAAATTTCCTAGTAAACTATACCACTGAAAAATATCTCAAAACAGTTAAAAGGGACAAGTATTTTACTAGTACATTTTCCTTACTGTTATAGCAATTTTCTTTATGTTGATTTATCATCATCAAATAGGGGGAGATTGTTGATCCTCTCTCTCATTGATTTGATGATGATCCTTTTAATCTTACGAAGTGTACTATTTATATATTCAGCTTTAGCGATCATCACTGAGTCTATTCAATGCTCATTGAATGTGTATTGTAATTCCTTCAGAGACAAGTATTCTTCAGGATGACAAAACTCACACCACAGAACCTTCAGCAATATCGAAGATAGAAGCTGAAGACAGAGACAAACAAGTTCGTGATTGATACGGTTTTTCAATGATATCAAGCTCGTCTACACAAGTGTGAAATCTACTCAAGATTCAGCAAACACTGATGAGACCTTCAGCGTCATTTCAGTGTCAGCGATCAAATGAATCTTTTTGAACAAGATTATTTTTTGTATTTTCATCCTACACATAAAGGACAATCTCATACCTCTCAAAGTAAAGTACTGTACGGAGTCACTCTACTGTCTCCAGCGTGATTACCTACTTTGTGAAAAGACTATTATTCATATACGGCTAAAGACTGTATATATGCAATAAAGGCCAAGCTCACCTTTTAAAGTTTGTCATGTGCTTTGTACCTTCTGAATTGCATTTAATGCAATGGGTATAAATAGTTGAGTAGTTCTTCCTTATCAGTTATCTTTTCTAATATATATCCAAGCTTCCTTGCCTTGAAGATCTTACCCAAGAAAATACTCTTCCCTCTAACTCTCTATCTAAGAGAAAGATATCCTCTGTAACAAGTGAAGAGCACAATCCTTCTCAACCTATTTCTTTTAGCAAGTATTTTCTTTGTTGCTATTTGTAACTTGTGTGTTTCTTTGATTGTTTAGATAAGTTCTATATATTATTTTTTCCGCAAACAATATGTAAAAGTCTGTATTGATCTTCTTTTATCAATATAAGTTTTTTAAAGGTGAAAGTTGTTGTGTTTGTATTCATCCCCTCCCCTCTACAAACTGTTACCTATAAACTCTTGTAGATCCGGTTGGGACCAACAATCTGCTTAAGCTGAATCAGAATCTGGAAGATATAGAGTCCCTACCTTTGTTCATGATCATTGAGCAGCCTGAGTTCGGGATCGTATACTCAAATGACATTGGAGAGAAGAAATTTATATGATTCAACGGTTTAGCAGCGTATTCAAATGGAATAATGAAGCTTATCAGACTTACATTATCAAGAAAGCTCGATCCGGAAAGAGAAGGCCTTGATAAGCTCAATCCTCACAATAAAAACCTGATGATTAATGCCCTGGATCAAATTGACAAAAAGCTAGAGTACCGGAGGATACTTAGAAGATTCGAGACGTATTTTGGCCTCCGCTCGAGAAGAAGAAGATTCGTATGCAACTACTTATACAAAGGGGAGAATGTTAGATTATTATTTTGATTTTATTAAAATAGAGAGACTAAATGTGTAAATACCTGTGAAGGTATAAATTGTTTCCTATTTTCTATAATAGGGTTAGACGTGTCAGGCTAATCATTTTGTAATCTTTCAAGCGCTGACTTTGGCAAAGCACTGTAATTCCAATTTGATCAATAGACAAGCCGACTGATTGAATCCTTGCAGTATTATTGTTTAATTCATCGTTCTTAATATCAATAAGGGCTTTAACGACACGTCAGATCAAACTCTCTAGAAATCTAACACACTGACCTATAATGTTTATGTTTCGACTTTTCCCAAACTCCGGATGATTCATGGTCAAAAACATCATATATGTCATTGTAATGGTGCTGGACATTAGCCTTTTTGGTTGTCAAACTTCTTTTTTGGGAATGATGGGTGGTATTGTGGCTTGCACTAAGACATGAACAACTTCATAACATTTTGCTTAACACTTTAGAGTTCAAAATATCCATGGTATCAGTTCATGTCAAGTCTCAACCCATTCTTCATTAGAAAATGTTTATGAACAACAAAGGATCAAGAATTACTGTTCAGGACCAACCATTCATCTATAGCTTCTTGCAACAAGAGATAGGTTGTCAGAATTCTGTCAAGGATCAAAGATCTTCCAAGTCTAGTTCTCATCCTTTGATCTCACGCCGGGCTCTCAGAGTTACACACTTGGTGGTTTCGAGGTCTTCTATTGGAACAACTATTTTTTATTGATACTCATTTCGGGTTCCTCATTTTTGGAAGACTTCTTCACAAGAGCATCACGTGAGAGGGAGCTTGGAAAGATATAGTTTCAAGTCCAAACCTTCTCTAAAGATTCCAAGCCTTGAAAATCAGAGGTAGCAAGTCATCTTGTCTAGAGCTTCTAAAGACCTTTAGACAAGCTTCTTAGAGCAAGAGCTACATCTTGATCAACATATCAGATGGTATAATAGACTCAGATGGAACTGTGTGTAGAAGAATTCTAGTGCCTCTCTGATTTAACTGATTGAAGAAAGCCTAGAGGTAGCAACCCTTCAATGCCAGAGGCTCTAAGATCCTCTAGACACGCATCCTAGAGATAGTGCTATTTTTGGAATCGAACGTCAGCGGGTGCCAAGACTAAGAAACTCTTGTTGGAGGATGGAGTTGCTAAATCAAGGGGGAGCTAGATTATTGTCATATCTAGTGTAGCTCCAAGTATTAAGAGTAAAATGAGAAGATAATTTGTGATGTAAAAGTGATTTTCATTTTACTGTTTTCTTTTTAACACTTAGGAGAAGATTGTTAGTCTCAAAACATGAAAACGAAAACTTAAGGGTAAAGTAGGAAAATCACTATTCCTTATATATTCCCTATAAATATGAGTCCCCTTCCCCATTTGTAATTTGTAAACGTGAGTTGTTTTTACAAACACTCTATCTCCAAATACCCCATTTCCTTTCTAATCCTTATAAGACTGATTGTCATGATTAATTCTCCAACTACGATTCTATGTTCATGTTATTCTTCATATTGATTAATTGTTTTTCAATTATAAATTGTTTGGATCTCAATTGTTTTCGCATTACACATTTTATTTAGATCTAACATATTTACAACCTTTTCTTTGTAACCGTCGATGTGACAAAAACAGTATTGACTTGTCTTCTTCCTCCCGCCCCCATCATTGCTCAAACCCTAATCTCTATTTTGTTGTTTGTTTTTGTTTATTGATTTTGGTAATCAATTTTGTGTTTGATTGTCGATGATCAACCCTCTCACTCTAAATTTGTGATTTCCTTTTTGTTTTTAATTTGTGAGTTGTCGAGAAGAGTGGGTCGTCAGAGAAGACAATAAACAAAAACACATTGACAGGAGAAAAGGTCGCTATTGGAGGTAGGGGTGGGATAGGTCAATTTTTTTAATTGAAATGTTATCACCTTTTAAAGATTGTAATGAAAATATCGTATAACATGATAAAAGACAAAAATGTTGTTAATTTAACCAATTTTCTTAATAAAGTTAGTCCGAAGATCGAAAATCGAAACAAAATGAAAACCATAGCGACTAAAAAGCAGTTTTCAAAGAATGCGGACAAAAATAGTTTTAAACAACTACAAAAGTGGTAGACTCTATTTCTTTATCTTTTCTATTTGCACAACACTATCATTTGTAATTTGTTTGCTTGGTCTTCTATTTGTTTGTTGTATAATCCTATGATGAAAACTACGTTTGCATAGATAGACTCTCACTTGTAACTTGGTTTGCTTGTTTTTTTGGTATTTGTTTGTTTTATAATCATGTAGAACTTGATGAACCACCTTTCTACACCCTAGGATGAAGGTATGATGATGTACATTGTACCCTTGTATCCTAGCTTTACACGAGGTTTATTTCAAATGGTCTAGTTTTAATCAAAATCGTCATCTTTAACTTGTAAAACATAAACAGAAGCAAATAACGGTCCATTTGACTAAACCTTGACAAAAAAAAAAAAAAAAAAAGGATTAAAGATGCCCTAAAAACATAAACAAAAACATCCAAAGATAGAATCCACAAAACACCATATCCATATGTCCTTGCTAATTGCTATCATAAAATGACTCAAAAAGGCTGCAATGTCGTAATCATAAGATTCTCTTCTCTTACAAGCATAGTCGAATTTCCCCTCAAGGGGACTGAAGGTTTGTCATATTGTTATTAGTCGAGGTAAATGCAAGCTGCTCTGGACATCCAGTATTATCCAGAAAGAAAACAAAGTCGAGTGCTTTGTATCAAACAATATCACCTCATTTGGACATTTGTGAGGGTAAAGGCCAAAGCCATATTTTATAGAATTGAACTGCCAAACAGAACACCAGGATCCCCAATCTACAACAATACAAACAAATTAATTCTCCAGATCATAGGTAGCTTACCTCATTTATCTTGACCAAAACTGAATAGCGCATCATTTAGTATCAACTGGTTGCAAGTGCCCATTTCAGCAACGAACATGATGAACTGATCATGGAACATCAAAATTCCACAAGCATGCCACCACAAAATGAAACGTTATATGTTTGCTTTGTTGCTAAGCTATACAATGCAAAAACGTACCACCAGATGTTGACAATTATAGACTACCATAACGAATGTCTTGCAAATAAAGCATTAAAAGAACACTTACATAACATGTATATTGTGCATGGCCAATTTGGCAGACAATACTCATGTCCATTAAAAACATTCAGCACTAAAAATAATCAACAACGGCACAAATAAAAATGTTATAAATCGATTGAAAGATGAATAAACTAACGAATACATGTAAGAAAACCAGGCATGTATAGAGAGCACTTTGTCTCAATTCTCTTTTGTTAATTGATCACCTAAATCACTAGGATAAGACAAGTCTTATTGCATTTTCTTTGTATGTCACAACTAAAAATATTTTACATCTAGCTCACTGGAACTATCGTGTCATCTATAAGCTGTTTCTCAGAAAATTACTACACGTTGGTTTGGGGAAGAAACGCCTATGACATATTCTTACATCACTGTTTCATAATCTGAATTACTAACTAGGCATACAAAATGTTTAACTCACTGTGTGTACTCTGGTTCCATTTCCAGACAAACCAAAGTGGCGGCGCAATGCAAGACTGGAATAGCCAATAGAAAGAGTTTTGTTAGACATAAGCAGCCAATAGAAAAAGAGTTTTGTTAGACATAAGCAGCCAGAAGGTAACTAACTATGCATACATAGTTCAGACAGAGGATCTTACGTGCAGTTGTCTGGAGGACTCCAAGTTAGTGTTTGTGATATCTTCATGCTGGGAGGAAGCGCCATAAAGTTTTTCCAATCCTGAAGCATGATTCTAAGATCATGAACTTTGTTTCCCAGGCCAACACAGCAATTGGCATGCATTGTGCAAACTTTGTTCAAGTCTTTGCTAGGTTCACAAAAGCCACCAAAATAAGCAGTGCTCAAAAACCTCAGCTGCAAGTCGATGTCTATAAGAAAAGAATCAAATTTGATATTGTTAAGGACATCCTGATCATGTAATCCGGGGTACATTTCTCTTGACGAGTACCAGTACTTGTAAAACTCTATTGACCGAACATTGGACCTTACAAAACTAAACCCTCCATTGGGATGATTGGATTCTACGTCAGTTGAGTTTCCAGAATAATGGTCGCATGCAATTTGGAAATCTGCATTTGGATAGAAATGTGGAAAGGGGTCCCTGAACCACATGACATCAGCATCCTGTAAAACAATAATCAACAAAATTACTTTGACAATGTATCAAAATTACTTTGTTCAAAGAGGAATATTTATCAGACCAATGCCAGATTCAAATGTCATAATTAAAGAAACTAGGTGCTGTTTGGTTCACAAAATTCAAAGAAATTGGAATGATCAATTCCTTTGACCAAATTCCAATTCTTTTGTTTGCTTCACATATTGAAATGGAAGGAATCCTTTGGATTCCTTTGAATTCCACAAATTAAGGAATTCATTATTCCTTGGCATAAGTGAAGGGATCGAATTCCAACCTGTTGCATCCAAATTAGCCAACAATGCCCACCCCCTCGCCATCCTCTGCCCCCACCATGACCATGCTACTATTGTCATTGTCACGCCCCCACCCCTAACCCCCCACCACCACACCACTACTTTTGCCGTCACAATCGCCACCACCCACACCCCACCCTACCCCAACCCTCAACCCACCACTCACCACCATGCCACTACTGTTGTCGTCACAACTGTGTAATCTACGCACACTCACCAACCCCCACCCCTGTTTACCCGTCCATACCCACCCCATCACCAGCCAATGCTACTATTATTGTCACACTACACCCCGTCGCCCACCCCACCAACCACCATGCCACTACTGTCGTCATCACAGTTACCACCCCCACTCCCTCCCACCCAACCACCATGCCACTATTGTCGTTTTCACAGCTACCACCCCACCCCCTGTCACCAACACCATACCCCTGTCACCCAACCCACCC